CCGCCTCCTGGGTTCAGGCAATTCTCCTGCCTCAGCCTCCTGAGCAGCTGGGATTACAGGCACGTGCCACCATGCCCAGCTGATTTTTTTTTGTATTTTTAGTAGAGACGGGGTTTCACAATGTTGACCTGGATGGTCTCGATCTCTTGACCACGTGATCCACCTGCCTCGGCCTCCCAAAGTGCTGGGATTACAGGCGTGAGCCACCAGGCCCGGCCGAAACCCCGTCTTTAAAAAAATAATAATAATAAATAAAAATAAGCAAATAAATAAAGATAAACAAAATAAAATGTCTGCAGTGCTCCGAATGAACACGGGCTCATGCAAGTGTATGCGTACATAGGAGCTGTCTGGCCAGGAATCCCATGCCGATGGAGATGCTGAGATGCCTGCTAGGGGGTGGTGAGCCCAGAGTCGGCTAGGGAGTAGGTTCCCCACCAGATGCCCGGTTCCTAGCCCCTGGCCCATGCCATGCTCTGCCTGTGTGAGAAGACACCCTCTGGGATCCCCCCACTCCCTGCCCCAACCCTGAAGGCCAGAGGCCATGAGGCAGCTTCAGAGCTCACCCAGGTGGTGCTCTCTCCCAGCTTGACCTCCCTCCTGGTTTGAGGGCAGGACCTGGCAGGCTGCTGGTGGCAAGTGGAGGGAGTGGCCGGGAGGTAGCCGGGGAGATGGGCAGCTGCGGCCAGCAAACACACACGCCTGCAGAGAGCTGTGGGCCATCAGCTCGGGCTCCTGTCCACTGGGCTCCTCCAAGGCCAGGGTCTGTGCAGTGTCCCTGGAGAGCTCCCAGGAGACGAGAGCAGGTCCCTGGGTCCAGGGCTACTGCAGAGAACCCTCCCTCTGCCCCGCTCCCAACGCTAGGGTCAGGGGGAGGCAGTCAGGCTCCTGGAAAAGCCAGCCAGGAACAGGACCCTCTGAGGCCTGTGGTGACAGAGCCAGGAGAAGAGGCAGGCAGGGGCTGCCTTCCTCCATCACCCCAACTCTGCAACCTCCTCCCCACAGGGAGTCCCGGGAGAGATGAGGCTTTTGCCTTGTACCCCTCTTGTTCCTGGTATTTTCCTTGCATCCCCTTTCCTGTCCTGAAGCCACTCCCTGCCCCAGCGAGGGTCTCCAAAATATTAACCATTCATAGCTGCCTACATTTCCCAGCTGCCAGCACCTCCAGGGAAGACAGTGGTCTTCCCTGCTATTCTATGTGGAGCTGGGCGGGATGACGGGCATTACCCTCGGATTGCAGAGGAAGCAACTGAGCTTCAGAGAGACCGCCCAGCTGGAAAGCAGGAGAGTCTTGGTCGGCTGGCCCCAGTGCTCCTCCCAGCCTGGCACTGAGCACCCCAGCACACCTACGTCTATGTCTGGATTGATCCCAAGCAAAGGACACAAGGCTCTGCCTGTCTTTGCTTCCCAGGCACCTCCCCCAACTCTCCGCAATCTCTCCTGAGCTCCAGCCCAGTCCAGCTGGATTCCAGCCAGGGGCCCCACTGAAATCAGGTGAAATCTTAGGAATTCACCCAGGAGGCAAAGCCTGTGGCCTCAGAGAGAGGAAAGCAGGAGGTCAGGGAGGCTGTGGCTTCCTCCCCACCCCTAGGCCTTTCTCATTGGCGCCTCCCCAGGCCACTCACCTGCCATGTGGACTACAGCCGTGAGGATGGAGGGGAACCAAGAGGTCTCGCTGTTGCTGGCCTGGAACTCCCATTGCAGTTCAGTGAAGAAGATACCAATACACGTGGGGAAGCCCAGGGTGAGGCCCTGGCTCACCACGGTGGCCAGCAGCACCACCCAGGCCCAGCTGCCATCTGCACGCTCCAGGGCCTGGGGCATCCTCTGCTGCTGATGCTGCCACAGCCTCACTGCCACTGTGACCACTGCCTGGGGAGGGGATAGAATGGAGCCTGATGCAGGCTGCCCGTCTCTCCTGGCCCACCTGCCACCTTCTCCGGGCAGCTGAGGCTGTCCCTTCCTTATGCCCCAGTACCAGGTGTCACAGAGGGGCACCGCCCCTGGGAGGTGGCCAGAGGCCCACGCGTTGGCCTTGGCATCTCCTTTCACCCACTTCCCAGAGCCAGCCTGGCAGGAGGTGGCAGGAAGGACAGGAGAGACAGGATGGGGCAGGGCAGGTGGCACCAGGCAACGGGGTGCAATTGCTTCTAATTGTCACATCACTTAGAAGTCAGCAGGGGACCTCCTGGCCCACTCAGTCACTGCTTGTAGAATGCAGCAGACCTCTGGGGTAAGTGTGGTCCCAACATCCCCAAATGCACACACGGATACATTTCAGACACTCATGCCCAGGCTTCCTGCATACGAACACAGGCTTTTGCAATGCCTCAGAAGCAGCGAAGTTACTATTGGTGCCGTTGTGAAGGCCCGAGTGAGCAGGCCGGTGCTGGGTGCAGCCACAGAGTGTACACAAAAGAGTTTAACAAACACCCAACCAGCAGCTTTGGAGAAGGCTTGGGTCTCACCCACCCCCACACCCCCAAACCTTTCCCACTGGCCCCTTTGCAATCACCCTGCAACACAGAGCTCAAGGCTAAGACTCAAGTTCAGCGATCACACTGAGCAATGATCAACTGCCTGCAAGGGCTTCTCTGTGTACCCCCGCCACACACACACACACACACACACACACATACACACACACACAGTCACACACGGACATAGTCACAGCATACACTCAGGCAAGCACAGAGACATACAGACACATGCACACACACAGACACACACAGTCACACACACACAGATATCCACTGACCCACACAAAGACCACACAGGAACACAAATTCATATAAAGACACACTTACATAGACACAAAAAAAGTCCAGAGACACGAAGAGACAGGGACAGACCTGTATTACACAGACACGTAGACACTTACGCAAACAGAGATATACACCGTCACACACGATGCAAGCAGATGAACTCACACACAGAGGCATACAAGCAGGTACACATGGTAGACGCACACAATTACACATAGAGAAACACAGAGACCCATGCACATGTACAGACAGACATACCCAGAGTCACACACGCTAGACAAAGACACACACAGTCACACACTATGCAAACATGCACATGTGCGAACACACACACACACACACACACACACACACGTCTCACATCTTTGGCTCAGCAAGGTACAGCCGGTCCCATCTTCGCTGAATACCAGCCAGGCCACTCTCATCACAGAAGCTGCCATCACCTGGCCTCCAAGGCCCAAGGTCCCCTCCCAAGTTTGGACCCCTTTTTCAACCCCCTCGAGTCCTGCCTCCTGTGCCCTGCCCACCCCCCAGACCTCACTGCTTGGGGGCTCTAGGCTGCAGCAGACGCTACCTGGAGCAGTCTCCACCTCAGTGAAGCCCACACATCCCAGAGCTGCTGTTCCACAGCCTCCCTCTCTTTCACTCCAGGTCCTGGGAAGATCCGGAGAAACTCGGAAAACTACCAGAAATATGAAACCCCCTCTTCCTGCCAAGCCCAGCACCCCACCACTTCCCCCACAACCAGGAGTTTTAAAGCCGCACCTAAGCCGGCTCCATCCTGAACTGCCTCCTTTTCAGTCTCCAATCCTCCGCCCTCCCAGAGGAGCGTGGGAGCCCTGCCAAGGTGAGTGTCCCCTTCATCACAGCCTGGGGTGAGAGGGTGCGTGACCTTTGTGCAGGGTGCAGCACTGCCTGCTGTCCTGCCCTCTGCATGGGACGTCTGGCTAGAGATCCTCCCAGCCTGGCCCTCCTCCTGGCCTAGCTTCAGGTTGGGAAACATAGCAGATGGGGCTTCTCCAGCAAACTAGCCCTCGCCTCTCCCAGAATTTCTGTTCCTTCAGCCAACGGAAAGGCCACGGGCGCCACCTGATCTTATGTCTTGCCCCAATGTCAAGTTTCCAGCCCTGCTCCCTAGCTTGCCCCTCCACCCCAGCTCTTCCGCTCTCCCAGTTGACACTTTCACCTCTTCCTCCCGGAAAGGCCACAGCCTTCCTGGCTTTCTCCTGCCTTTCCCTGTTCCCTGACACCCAGCCCTGGCATGCCCAGGCCCCGAGACCCTGGCGGCATTTGGGAGGCCTGGAGGCTGGACCCCAGCCCCGCTCCCTCTCCCCGATGTCCAGCTCTGGTCCGTGTCCTGGTCTTGCTCCACCATGTCCTGCCCTGGTGGGAAGTCTATGGAGAAGTCTCTTTCTCTGAGAAGAGCTTTTCTCAGCATCCATTTTTTGGGGCACTGTTTTTGGGGACTTTGCCCAGGCTTCTGTGACCTTCACTCTGAATTCCACCTTCCCTCCAGAACCATTCAGTGGGGCTGGCTGTTCCTGAACAAGTCCTCTCTCCAGGCCCCAGGCCAATCCGAGCCCAGGAACCCCCCAAGCACCTCTGCACACTAGAAGCCCTGCCACTAGGCCAGGCACGGTGGCTCACGCCTGTAATGCCAGCACTCTGGGAAGCTGAGGCGCGTGGATCATGAGGTCATGAGTTTGAGACCAGCCTGGTCAACATAGTGAAATGCCATCTCTACTAAAAATACAAAAATTAGCCTGGCGTGGTGGCACACACCTGTAGGCCCAGCTACTTGGGAGGCTAAGGCAGGAGAATCGCTTGAACCTGGGAGGCAGGCTGTGGTGAGCTGAGATGGTGTCACTCCAGCCTGGGCAACAGAGAGAGACTCTGTCTCCAAAAAAAAAAAAAAAAAAAAGCCCTTAGGCCAAGGTCTGAGGACCCCCCTCCCCCACCTCCCTCTGGGATCCCCCTTGCAGACTTGGCCTTCCTGGTCTCCTTTCCCACTCCCAGCAAGTCCCAGCTCAGATACACGGTGTAGATGCCCAAACGGCTCTCCAGCCTTCCCTCCCAGCAAGCGGTTTCTCCTGCTGACCTTGGCTGCTGTGGCTCCGGAATTCTTAGCCAGAGAGAAGCCGATTCGTCCTTCAAAATTCAGCCCTTAGGCCGGTCTGGTAGTGAGTTATTTCAGTTGATTGTTCACAGGCAGGTGCTGATCAAACTCCTTGTTCTATGTTTTCCCTGCTTCCCACTACCACTCCTGAGTAGTCTTAAAAGAAGATTCAGCCCTAGCAGCATCCCTGGGAGGCTACCCTGACGTCTACCCCAGGCTGGGCTACGCCTCCTTCCTGTTTTCTTTCTTTCTTTTTTTTTTGAGATGGTATCTCGCTCTGTCTTCCAGGCTGGAGTGCAGTGGTGCAATCTCAGCTCACTGCAATCTCTGCCTCCCAGGTTCATGCGATTCTCCTGCCTCAGCCTCCGGAGTAGCTGGGATTACAGGTGCAGGTGCCTGTATAAAGGCAGGTGCCACTATGCCAGGCTAACTTTTGTATTTTTAGTAGAGACGGGGTTTTGCCATGTCCACCAGGCTGGTCTTGAACTCCTGACTCAAGTGATCTGCCTGCCTTGGCCTTTCAAAGTGCTGGGATTACAGGCGTGAGCCACTGTGCCCGACCTGTTTTCCCACTTTAATAGCGGTCTCCACACCGCACTGGAGTGGATCATCCCCTTGTTTATTGTCGTCCCCACCCCCCCCACCCCCCTCCACACTATGAGCAGAACCTGTTCATGAACCCCCACCCACCCTCTGGCTGAGCACAAAAGAGGACAGGAATGTGACCCACCTGTGTTCCCCAGGGGGCGGGCAGGCCCAGGACCAAGGGCAATGCAGCTTCCAGGCAGGCAGGTCCATTCCAGACTCAAGCAGGGCAGAGAGGCGATGGGGTCGGGGCTCTGACTTGGCCTCTGCCCCAGCTGGGAAGTGGTCTTTTCTTTGTACTGGGAATCATGAGTCATGGTCACTGCCTGGTGTGTGCTTTGGGCAAGGAGGGACACAGTGCAAGATGCTTCACTCTCACTTCCAGGACTAGGGGTGAGGCTGGGCCCCAGGGGCTGCCAAGCTCAGCTCTCAGAGACCCTTAGGCCCAATGAGACCAGCTTTATAGCCAAGTGCCATCAAGCTGGGTGTGTGAGCAGGGTGAAATTTAAATCATATTTCTGGTCCTTCTCCCATCTCACAGAAGCCCAGCCTATGTTTTCAGGGCGCCTCATCTGATAGGCCCTGGGAATCCTTTCTCTGTTTCTGGAGCTCGAAGGCCTAGTCACAGGGGAGGGCTGATGCTCTCAGGCAGGGGTCTGGGGCTAGGGGCCTGGTGTCCAGAGCCGAGGGGACTTCCTTTTCGTCTTCCCTCCTCTCCTCCCATGGTGAAAGAGCCTACGGCTGGAAATGAGGCAGGCCCTGGGGACCCCGCCCTCCCCAGATCCCACATCAGGCAGGCTCCTCAGCTGGAGCCCAGGACCCAGGCAGGCAGCAGAAGGGCTCCTGCCCAGCAGAGAGCACCAAGGGCAGGCTTGACCTTGGGAATGAGGAACCCTCAACCCTGTGGCTGGCTGGGGGAGGAGGGAGGCGGCCCCAGAGGTGGACTAGCTGGGGCAAGTCACTCTCTCCCTTTCCCTTGTCCCCCCACATTCCCTGAGGAACCAGGAAGGGTTTGGGACAGGCAACGGAGACCTCATGCCATACTCTCGCCCTGCCCATCCCCGCAGTCCTGCCTCGAAATCTGGTTTCCACTGGGGTGTTCCACCCACCCTGGGGCAGAGCCCCTCCGAGTGGGGCTGCTGGGATCCCCAGCTGCGCCTGCCTTGAAATGCCGAGCCAGGAGTCCGAGCGCCCTCGGGCGTGGAGGTCATCACCCAGGCCCCGGGGCACACCAGGACTGGGACAGGAAGACTTTTCTAGATCCTCACTGAGCCTGCCCAGACAGGAAGGGTCCAGGGGCCCCGGCAGGGGGTCTGCGACGGCGCTAGAGGGCACCGGGCGAGGAGGGAACCCCTCCGAGGCAGTGGGACCCGGGGAGCCCGCTCACCCTCTCGCAAGGGCCCAGAGGAGACGCAGCTCCGCTCCCCCAGGCGCCGCGTCCTGCGGCCCGGGCCGGTCGCGACGAGGATGTTGGGACTGGGCCGAGCGCCGTGGCCCGAGAGGGCGGGCCCAGGGCGGCGCGGGCGGGACCCACCTTCCAGCCTCCCCGGGATTCCGTCGGGTGGGGAAGGGGCCAGGCCTCCGGAGGGGCGGCGGGCGTGGCCGGGGACCGTCCAGCACCCGGGCCCGGCTCCTGCCGCAGGCGCCGTGGGACATTCGCGTGTCTGAAATTTGCACAGCCCGGATGCCCTCTTTCGGGGTTCTGGTTTCCCCGCTCAGGGTCTACGGCCCCGGGCTTGGGGCGGAGATAACTTGCCATAAAGAGACCACACCTCCCGGGAAATGGGGTGGGGAAGGAGCAGAGGCCGAGGCTGAGGATCCCTTCTTTTCGCGCTTTCCCAGCCCAGGAACCCTTCCAATGAAAGTCTCGAGCTTTGAGGGCTGCGCCTGCCAGTGGGGGTCCAGGCAGTCCGATGTAGGGGAGCAGGCCGACCCCTCAGCCCTGGGAGCCGGTGAGAGAACACCCAGCACCTGTGCATGAGGTCGTCACAACTACAGGCCCTTTTCAGGTTTCTCACCCTTCCCCTACCCGGGCAGCCCTTGCGCATTAGTTAAAATGTACAGAGTTGGCCAGGTGCTGTGGACACGTCGGTAATCCCAGCACTTTGGGAGGCCGAGGCGGCAGATCATGAGGTCAAGAGATCGAGACCATCCTGGCCAACATGGTGAAAACCTGTCTCTACTAAAAGTATAAAAATTATCTGGGTGTGGTGGCGGGTGCCTGTAGTCCCAGCTACTTGGGAGGCTGAGGCAGGAAAATCGCTTGAACCCGGAGGCAGAGGTTGCAGTGAGCCGAGATTGTGCCACTGCACTCCAACTTGGGTGACAGAGCAAGAC